CATTTCAAATACTATAAATGAATGGGTGAAGTGTTTAACTGTGCTTATGGAGTTACACAACGAGTTATATAAGTTTTGTTTGGATATGAAATCTATTCTTCCAGAGCATTTTGAGACATTTTTCAAAAATGTTTCTTGTTTATTTCCTGATTTTTATTATAAAATTTATTTTGAAGATTTTATAAGTACATGGTCACAAAACAAGAGCCACATGGAGGAAAACTTATTAATGGCGAATTTAATTTGTCGTGCTACACATCTAGGTTTAAGTAACGTAGCTATTTTGAAAAAAACTTTTAGTGAATTCATTGAACCCGAACTAAATATTGCAATTAGTTTAATAGAAGAAAGTTTACTTTTATCAAAAAATGACTTTATTTCAACTGAAATTCTTATTGATAATATTCCATGCTTTTATGCGCCTTTTTGGCCTGACGCTGCCTCCTCCTTGGTTACACGCAATAGATTTAGGCCGGACTCACAACTTGTAGGATCAATTTACAAAAATGGTTTCCATATTGTGCCAAAATCTTTACCAGAAGGTGACGAGAGATTGGAATGGCGGTTGTCTTTTTCTGCAGCAGAATCTGTTTTGAGTCTCCATCGAACTGAGAAACAAAACTACATTTACTTTCTTTTCAAGTCATTGTTTTACCAATATGTAAAAACATACAGTCATGAAAAGTTGTTACCCACGTATATATGCAAAACAGTAATGATGTGGACTTGTGAACAACAGCCGCAGTCATGGTGGGAAAAAGTATCATGTGAGAATGGAGTTTTATTCTTGATAAAAGAGTTAGTTAAAGGTATTAAAAAAAAAGTTATAAAACATTACTTTATCGAAAAATTGAATTTATTAGAACACTTTTCATCGTCTATTTTCATTTTTACTGAGTTAAGCTTGTTTAGTTTAGAAAAGAATTTTGTTGAAAAGCTAAATATCTTATTGGTAAAAATGAGTACAGGAATAAATATTGTTCAAGCCCATTTAAATGAGAAGCACATCACATCTTTTGATCTATCTGTACCTTTTGTTTATGAACAAAACTGTTTAACGAAGTCGAAATTTTTATTGAAAAATTCTATTAAATTATTTACTTATAGTTATTTTTTCAAATGTTTCTGTATTTACGAAGAAATCTCAAGAACAAAAGGAGAACTCACTATTCGAGCCCAATATGTTGACCTTATTACAAAATCATTGCAGTTTCAAGATAATGAAGAAGTGAGAGAGTTGCACTTAACACATTTAAAAAAAATTAGTTACTTGGTGTGTCGAATTACAGCATTGGATAGAACAGTATCTTGTTTTTTTTCGGGTTTAAAATCATTAGTTCTTCTAAGCTGTACTAAGTGTGACGTTTGCAATGCAAACATCAGGTGCGATTCTAAACGTTATTCCTGCTCTTTATGTGCAGCTGCTGGTGGTTTTGATGTATATATAGATTGTATTAATAACAGAAAAGATATATTTCAATGGGTTAATATACATCAGGATCAAGTAGATGATAATAAACAAAATGTTACTCATGAAGATACCTTATATAAAACAAGTGATGAATCACTTGGTTTGAATTGTACTAGAAATAAACAAACTTATAATGTATTAGAACAAAAAAATAAAGATATTCTTTTTCCTGATTTAATTTCTCAAGCTAAGAATATACAAGTTATCCTTCCTCAATTTGATTTTGGAAAATTTAACAATTTTCCTGAAACCTGCACTTATGAAACAAAGTTAAAATTTGCTTTCCTTGAATTAAAACAGCAATTCGATGACAGAGTTGACATTCTTTCAAGAGATTTTGAACATTCGTTTGAATGCGCAACAAAACCAGTTTCGTTTACGAAAAATATGTGCACTAAGTTTATCGATAAAATTGAAAATAATTTTATGCAGAATTCTGTATCTATTTTAAACAAATGTAAATTTGGTAATGAAATCCATGAACTTAATTTGAAATATTGTGATTCACCTAGATGCCCATCATTGTTTTGCGACCCTCCTTCCGATCTAACTTACTGGAAATTAGTATTAGAGTCACAAATTGACTGTGCAAATAACTATTACAAACTTGCACAGAACTGTGTTCCTTTAGAACGTATTATTAGTTTACGTCATGAATTACCCGGAGAAATTGTTAGAACAACTGGATTTTTTAATAATCTACTTTTAGAAAATGTAAATACATCTGATCTCACTAGTAGACCTTTTGAAAACGAATTTTCTGCTGAAGTTTTATCAGATGAAACAGAGATGTTGAATAAAAAATTCACTGAATTTATTAAATCTTTAAAAACGGAAGAGAAATTGATTTTAAATTTAAATTGGTTGATTAATATAATTAAACATGATGAAACTTAGTTACAATAGCTCAAAAGATTGTGTGCTTTCCCTCTTTTTGTGTTCCTAAATATATAATGTACAAACTTATTTTAAATGTTATTATTTCGAAATTAGCTAAAATTAAAATTTTTTATCACAAATTTTAAAGAAAACTAAAATTTTTTTTGAAAAGGGAATAGTTCTTTAAAACTTGGTTTTATATATCCTCATTATATTTACCTCAGTAAATAGTACTTGTTTTTATTTTTATTTTTTCTAAATTTGACATCCATGATCCAGAAAAAAGTGATTTAGTTAGTTTTAATTTACACTTGTGGTATAGAGGAGTTGTTGAATATTGTCATGTTCTTATTTAAATAATACATTGTAGAAGTTGAAGGAACTTTTACAACATGATACAGTTCTTGACGTTATGTTGTTTTGCAGATCACTGCTAAGGCTTTATTACAATACTATCATTATCACTATTGTAAGCCTTAAAGAATCCCTATCCAAGTTTTACAAGAATCTTCCTATCTTTAATAACAATAGAATTAAGGTTTTTTTTTCTTCCACCACCATTAAAGAATCTCAAACAATCAATACCCTAATCTTTATAGAGCGTTAAATAGTAAAGTTGTGATTTATGGAGAGTTGTTTAGTAAAGTTGACTTTATGTATAGTTTTTTTAGTAAAAATGTAGAACATTAGGGATAGTTAAACAATTTGGAAAGTTATTGTTATGACATTTGGTTCTTTAGTAGCTGCTTAATTGTAAATTTCTATTTGTAAATACTAACTTTATTAAAAATTAAATAAAAAAGTAGTAAAGTTCTGGTACTTTACGGAGAATGTACTGCAAAATATTTATAGTCCTTTGCACAAAAGTTTTTCTTTATCTTTATTTTTTTAATCATATTATAGTTTTTATACTGCAGCTGGTGCATTGGCAGGATTGAAAAGTCGTGTTTTTTCATAGGAATTACCTTTGTAAACTAAATTAAAAAAAAAAAAAAAAAACCTTTAGAAGGAGGCAAAAGCACCTAACAAACCACCTATAAATATCTATTTAATTTTGAGAAAAGACATTGTTTGTAGAATTCCTAATTTTTAGTTATAGGCATTGAAAACTTGTTTCGAGGAAAGAACGAATCAAGTGATCAATGGCTATAACAAGTGACACAAGTTTCAATGGCTATAACAAAAAAGTTATTAGTTCACATGTAATATTTTTACCTGAAACTAAATAGGCCTTTACCGGTAGCATTTTAGGTATTATTGTTTTATTTTTAACGTTTTTTTTTTTTTTGAATTTCCAATTTGTTTAAAAAGGTCATTCCTTTTGAGAAAAAAAAAGACTTTTCAATCCTGCCCACAAGCATCGGTGTAAATTGAACACTTTGACAGCTTTTTTAAGTTTTGAACATTTTGACAGCTTTTTTTAAGTTTAGATAGAGGTTTTTTAAGTTCGTTTTAAATTTTTTTACGTATGAAGCATAAGCTTTTTTAAATTCCTTAAGGTACTTTATGGATTAATTCTTCAAAACGTATTCGTAGTTTAAGTCGCTAATTAGTAAAGTTGTGGCGCACTATGGAGACTTTGTTGTACATGATGTTGCGAAATTTTGATAGTCCAATCTGCCTAATTTTTTTTTAATGATAATATAATTTAGTGCGGTCTTGGTGCAATAAATTACATTAATTATAATAAATAACAAAAAAAATTATAATATATATATATATATATATATATATATATATATATATATATATATATATATATATATATATATATATATATATATATATTGTAAGAATTGTGTTAATATTTCCAGTAAGAGTGCTCAATACAGCGTTTTATATAATTAGTAGAGCAAATAATATAGTGAAAACTAAATAATTATTAAGATATATTTCAATTACATAACTAAAAGTTTCACGCAATAGCGATCATCAGATGTATATCTTAATAATTATTTAGTTTTCACTATATATATATATATATATATATATATATATATATATATATATATATATATATATATATATATATATATATATATATATATATATATATATATATATATATATTTCTAATGCAACAGCAAGCAGAAGCATCATCAAGTATAAATAAAAACATTGAGAGCTTTTCTATAGAAAATAATTAAAAAGTTTAAATAAGTTTAAATAGAAATCTATTAAATTTGTGTAATTTTTCATTTATTAAAAAAATACATTAAATTTTTTGAGTTTTTACAATGAGTTTTTTCATCTGCTTATATATTATTTAACGGGCACAGATAGTATTTAGACATTGATGCAACATCATCATTAAACATCATTTCGATTAGCGGCTGGTCATTAAAGACTTTAAAATGAGATTTCCGCATTCAATTGGCTAAAGATGTAATTTTTCCATATATTTTAATGGTGGTTGCTCATTGGCTGGACGTAAAAAAAAAAACGTAAAAATTTTATGACGTTTGCTTATGAGCCGCCGACTATAAAAAATACATTAAAACATAGTCATAAGAAATAGATAGTCTGTTAATCTAATGAACTAACTATTTTTCTTGTAAAAACTCAAGATATATTGCAAATGTCGGGTGAAAACTGTTCAATTTATGGATGTTCTGCCTCAAGAAGTCATACTGGAGTTGCTTTCTTTAAAGTTCCTACAGAAACGGACGATTTTACAAAGAAATTGGCTTCAGAACTAATTAAGATTATAACAAAAGATTGAGTTGTTAATGATATTCTTCGAGAGAAAATAAACGATTTTGAACATAAAAAATTGTGGATATGTGAGCTTCACTTTTCCCCTGAACAAATTTTGTGTTATAAATCAAAAAAAAAAAAAAAATTAAAAGATGGAGAACTACCATCGTTAAATTTACCAAAAAAGAGCTTAGAATCGTCATCTTCATGTTCTGTTATTCAATCCTTATTGTCAATATCTAAGTGAGAAAATTCTCAATTACTTCTTGAAAGTTCTTTTTTTAACACAGCCCTATTGTTATAGAAATTTTACTGACTTTAAAAAACGTCTTCTGCATTTGTTTTCATTAAATAAGTTATGGAAGATTGAATTTTTTAATAATTTTTGTTATACTTCATTCAAGTTATTAGAAGAAATGATTCCAAAATTTGAAATTTTTGTTGAAGATTCGTTATATTTTACTATTCGTGTGTATGGATGGATGTTACCTGAAACACATAATTTATACTTGAAATATAAAAGGTCATTTCTAAATGTGAGAATTTCACAGTTTATTTTTGGAATAGGATCTTTAGAATTTTGAAATAAAATTAAAGTTGCTGATCCTATTGAAGTGTTAAATTTTCAGAAGTATGTTGTTCCTAAAACTTTTGATTATTTTGCTTATAAATTCTTTGTCAAAGTCTAATTGCATCAAATTGAATTTTATCGCAGTAACTCTTGTGAATTATTTTGGAAAGAATCAGCCTTGCAGATTTTGTCATGAACTTTATGTTAAAGTAAATTCTAATATACACTCTAAAAGATCTACTCTTAAGACTCCTACTAAACTAAATGCACAAATCTCTGTAACTTCTCCTAGTAGACTTAAACTGACTTTGCAGCAATGCAGAATTAAATGCAAGCAATTCAAGGAGAAAATTGAACTAATGAAATCTGCTTTAAATATATATGTAGTAAGAAAATTTGTTCAGAACTTAGTAAAGACTTAATCTCAATTTATTCAGCTATTGATCGAAAAAAACATCCCACCGTTTATGAAGTTGTTTTGGGAACAGCAGTATTTGAGTTGTTCCAATCTTTTATCTATCAGATATCATCCTGCAATAATAAAATATTGTCTAAACCTAGCTGCTAAATCACAATATGCTTATAGCGATTTGCGATATGATCCACAGACAGGTGTCGGCATTTTAACTCTTCCAAGCTTAAAAACTTTAAGAGATTACAAATATTACATCCGACTTGCTAGGGGATTCATTCCAGCCGTCTTAAGTGAACGCGCAAAAAAAACACAAACTTTTCTTCTTCATGAAAAATTTGTTTCCATTATTTTCGATGAAATGAAGATCCAAGAGGATTTAGTATGGGACAAATATACTGGAGAACTTATTGGTTTTGTTGATTTAGGTGATAAAGAAATCAATTTTTCTAGTTTAAAAAATGTTAGAGAATTAACTACTCATACACTAGTGTTTCTCGTAAAGAGCATTGTTAATCCTTTATCGTTCAGTTTAGCTACTTTTTCAGATACTGGAATTACGTCATTTCAGCTGATGCCTGTTTTTTGGAAAGCTGTTTGTTACCTTGAAAGTATAAACTTAAAAGTAATTTCTGCAACAGCTGATGGTGCCTCTCCGAACAGAAAATTTTTTAGAATGCATAAGAACTTAAATATAAATGAGTGTAAGAGCTCACAATATTTACTCTAATGAAAAACTTTACATATATTTCTTTTCAGATGCTCCACACTTAATTAAAACTGCTCGCAACTACCTTGCAAATTCTGGTTCTGGACGAGGTACTCGTTATATGTAGAATAATGGTTTACACATTCTCTGGAGTCATATTTCTCAACTTTATTGTGAGGACTTAGAATGTAGCTTAAGATTAGTAAATAAACTTACAAGTGATCACATTAATTTAAACCCGTATTCATTAATGCGTGTTTACTTGGCTGCTCAAGTGTTTAGTGAAACAGTTGGCAACGTTTTTAAAGAATTTGGTCTACCAGAATGCGCAGAAACTTCTCAATTTTGTCTCATAATGGATAAATTTTTTGACTGCTTAAATGTTTCAAGTAAAAATAAAGCTATTGAAAATTTAAAAGAAAATCTAAAACCATATGAATCTGTTAATGATGTGCATTTTAAATGGCTTGACAGTTTTCTTTTATGCTTTGAGAAATGGAAAGGGTCTATTGACAATCGAAATGACCGGAATTATACTGCTAAGGCAAATATGTTTATTTAAAGAAGTTTGTAAGTTTCACTTAGAACATGGTGTTCCTTACATTCTTTCAGAAAGATTTTATCAAGACGATTTAGAGAACTACTTTAAAAGGCAACGTGCCATTGGCAGCAGACATAATAATCCCACTGTCAGAGATGCTGGGTATAATGACAACACTATCAAGTCACAATATTCTATACGATCTATTGTCGGTAACAAG